ATGCGTTTTTGCTGCCTGTTGCAGCGCTCTAGCGCTGCACGGCAAAAACGCATAAAAACGTAAGACATAATAAATATAGTTTTAAAATAATACAACCCACTGACTTATTAAACTGTTTTCGAAGAAAAATGCATTTTTTCGTTCTGGATGCATAATTTTGTAAAATAATGTGTCTTTCAAACATGAGTAGGTTTCTGAAATGAATCCAGTTTAATTGTCTCAAATCACTGTTTTCAGAGTGTCCGACATTGTATCTATCGTTGCACATGAAAATAATACTGCGAAAGCTCTACATTTTTGGACTGCATGGCGCGATGCTTTGGGACCAAAGCTTGCTGCAACGTATAACCGACTTATCCAGCTTATCAATAAAGGCACAGTTCTGTTTGAACGAGTAAACTAACTTTTTATGACATTTTAACAATTTAAAGAGCCTCCAGAAATTTGTCGGCTTTACAGCTTGATTATCTTAGGCGCCGAACTAAATGGTTTTGGCGATGCCGGGGCGATGTGGCGTAGTCCGTATGATTTAGCAATGCCAGGAAGCGAAGTAAGAGGGCACGGTGATATTGTTGCTGTCCTGCAACAATTATATCAAAAAATTTCTCCATTTTACAAACAGGTTAGTCTTTCATTTTTCAGAAAAAATCTCATTGTCTTTTTTGCGCATTCCTAACGAAAAATGGTCCATTTCGATTTATTATCGGCAGTTTAGCAGTGTTTTAGTCACGCTCTAACAATTATTTATTTTTCGCAAATTCACGGTCTCGGTAAAGAACTTTCAGCGGCAAATCAGGGATCAAGAAAAGTCTTTTACTATCCTTTTGTGCTTTTAAACGTATAGCTTGAAGACTGCGGACCTGCTTCTTTTTCAGTTTTTCCTGTCTCTCTTCTTGACTTTGACAGTGCTTGAATTGTGTTTGTTTTTGAAGTTCGAGAATGACATTATGAACTGCGGCTGATCAAGACATCAAAATAAGTAATTTATTCACTTCGCTATGTGCTAATTATCAAAGATTGAGTGAAAATGCCATTTGAACTATAAAAAAGAACTGCTATTTTACCTATTCTATAACTGTATTGGTAAAAATTTACAGCTGCATGCTTATCTGAGGCGTCGGATAGCAGCATTATATGGTTTGAGGAATGTCCAAGGACTTACTCAGGATGGTCCTATTCCAGCACATTTGCTCAGTATGCTTTTGCTCTGCTTTTGTAACTCGTCTATGTCTTAAAATATTTCATCGTTTTTTTATCTAGCAGTTCCGAAATCAGATTCAGCAATTCGGAACACAAAAAAAAAATACTGCGACATACTACATAATTACGTCTGTAGTTCCATTTCTGCTGCAAGATTTTTGGTACTGGTGGAAGAGCTTTAACTCAACCCAGCGTTGCTGTCTAAAACAGACCCTGTACTTCTCTTTTTTGGTCTCATACAGAAACTGCGCTTGGCGAGGTGAAAAATCAGCAGTGATGTAGAAAAGCCCGAAATGACGCATGCAATTCGCAGCACATTTCCAACGGAGTAACGCTGCCCCGGTCTGGTGCAAACGATATTATCATGACGGTGCAAGTCAAAAAGGAATGGTCGTATGGCGAGAATGAAAGACAGCACATGGACAAAGCAGACTGTCCCATGGTATCAGACAATGTTAAAAGAACAGAATGTGAGTCGCTAATGCAGTGAAAAGATCCGTCAGAATGCCCATACAGAATCACGAAGATGAGAGGAGCTCAGAACCGTGAAAGGATGTAGAAGCTATCAGGTGCATCAATAGCGTAAAAGCGTAAAAATGAACAGCAGCTGTTAAAAGTGTGAAACGTCTACATTTAACTAAGATCATCGATATCGCCGCGTCTATCATAATGAAGAATTCGATGATACAGAAATGCCAATACTCGGTGATACGGACGCGCTTATGCAGCGTCGTTCTGTTTGATATTACCTGTCTCCAACTGACGTAGGTTGTGTTCACTACATAATATTTGTGCCACCATTATCGAAGGAGTCGAAATTTTAGCGGTTTTTTTGTTCCGCCAGTACTGTCGTCTGATATGTAATGCCTGAGTGTTGATAACAGTGGCGACGACATGTGCAGCCTGGTGAACAATTACAAGAGCGCTGAATGGAACTTGAAGAGCATTGAACTACTTCGTTAAAAAAATGAAAAGTACTAAAGTTTGCATTGGTCATTATTGGCTGTGAACCAAATTAGGGTCGAAATAGAAGCTTTTCCCTCTGAGAATGGATTGCGTAGTGACTTTTCTTTCTTTTGCTGTTAAGTAAAGATCTCTCCGATTTTCAGGTGTTTTTTTTTTGCGCACTTATGCAAGTGCAAAATACATACTGTATGAGCCTGTGGTGTGTCTGTGCGTGTCCGAGATCCACTCGGCAAACAGCTTTGATGCTGAAAATTTGTCAGTGGGTCACTGGCCACATGTGACGCTAGCAGCGTAGTACCAGCTTTCAAACAGGTCTGAACTATCACGTACAGACATGTGAAAGTTTGCTAATTTGGGAATCGGAAAAGCTAAGAAGCAAAAATCTCAAGGAAATGTTTCCTGTCCACGTGCGATTGAAAGGTTTCGAATTCAGTCCCTAAATACTCTTGTTTTCACGTATGAGGAAGTAAAAGTTTTGGCAGGAAAACTGCTAACATGAAAATCAGGTAAGCCAAGAAGCTTGGGGAGATATTCCCTGTCCAGGCGCGAACTAAGGATTTCAAATTCAGTTCTTAAGCAATAGTTCTCACATACGGGTGCGTGAAATATTTGGCGGGAAAATTGTTATCTTAGGAATCAAAATAGCTAGGTCATTCTCATTTTCCTCCATGCAAAATGTGCGGTAATTTACAGTAATAAGTGCAAGTTACCGTAAACTTTTTTGAAGGGTAATGTAGGTAGTGAGTGCAATATGAATGGTTGTTGCTTTACAAATGTAAAGCAACAACCGTTCATACTTTCAACGAACTGACTGCTTCAAGTTTAACGCAAAACGCATGGTGGCACCGACGAGCCTGGTGTGTCGCTATCTAGGTTTCATGTATACAATAAAATTTTGTTGCAGGAAGTATTTCTGGGGACAACTGGATTGCATTTTATCCGGACACAAAACCATTCCATGAAGAAGCCAGCCTTGCAAGTGAAGTGCAAGAAAATTTTCAGAAGCAAAATTACACAGTAAAAAATATGTTTAAGCAGGTAAATGGATTCATTTTAATACTTCTGCAGATGATTTTAGCGAAAGGAATTGATTGTTAACAAATTGCTGCTAGCTGGGAACTTGCTTGGAGGTAGAGGTTGGAAACACGGGCTGAAATTATATTCGGGACAAGATCGGGAGAGAAACGGAAGGAGGGGGGGAGGGGGAGAGGGGAGAGGAGAAGTTACAGAGGTTTGTGATGTTGAACAAGAAACTCGATGCTTTGCGGCAACCACCATCGCACCTAGACAAATAAATAGCGAAGCGCACCAGGGTAGCTGGTGCGATCATGCGTTTTGCGCATTTCCGTCCACCGGACGTTTGCTTATCAAAAATATAATCGTTTTACACTTTCTTATATGTAAAAAAATAGTAGATATGCTGTCTGACTCCAAAGGTGATGAATTTTCCACTGAAAATTTCACGTGCCGGTACAAGAAAGCTGAT